TGTATTTTACATTCATAGGCTATGGTGTACATGGTCAACAAGTGATGACACATTTTTTGTTTATTTTCTAAAGAATTTTGGAACAAAATACTAAATTACCAAGATTTGTTGAAATTTAACTATGTTATTTATTTATTTATTCATTTATAAATAAATAAATAGATAAATATATAAATGGATAAATAAAATAAAAGTATATATTGAACACCGTAAAAATCTGCCACTTCGTCTCCAGTCCCTCAACCCCCGGCGTCTTCCTCTTTGGGTTGAAGTGTCCACTCGGTCCGAACCGAACTTAGGGGTAACTAGCCATACGCTCCCTGAGTACCCGTAGATTATTTCGACCGGTCAACTGGTCAAGTCCTGCTCGCTGCCCACGCTGTGTTAGTTTTTAGATCCAGTAAGCGGAGTGTTGTCCATACTTTCACGGTCGACTGGGGGTGTGGACACGTCTGTGAGAGTTGGCGGTAGGAAGTTTAGAATGTGGCAATATAAAACAAGAAACAATATCTGCAGAAGCCAGACAACAATGGGGGAAATATTGACGTCTTTTATATAAGATAACATCAGAACAGAGGTTACAGGGAGAATAAAAACATTTAACATAAATGAGAAAAAAAAAGAAAAAAGACAAAATGCATCCAGCGAATTCCCAACAGAGAGAGGGTTTGTGTGTGATAAACGCGTATTGAATTGCCTGGGGTAGGTTTATGCCGAGTAGTCCAGTCTCATACAGACTTCTCAGAACAGGGGGCAGTCTTCCTTCTCTAATTCCCTCGCAAATCTCTTGTGACTCTCTCCTGTCTCTCTTTCTCGTCGGCCTTTCTCGGCTGTCTTCTTCCGTCTGGCACTTCCGTCTCTCCTGTAGCACCGCGACCCGTAAAGGTCGCCTGCGCGTGCTCACGCACGTGACGACGATGTGCCGACCGATCGCGGTCTCTCCCGTCTGCACTCGACGGCAGACCAGCCAACCACTCTTTTCAGCATAACTACACTGGTTTATATAGATAAATCTGTTTGATCATGAATCAACCCTTGGCCCGGCACGCGATTATCATGACTATCCCTTGACATGTAAACCGATTCTCCAATTATTTACCACGAGTTCTTCTCGCTTCTCCCAAATTATACTTTGGGATATCTAAACATTGATTCAAACTTTTAACCAAAGCAAATACTGTTAAACAAAGCCAAATATCTCGTAGCCTGAGTAAGCTCCATTTCAATTTTTAACCGATAAATTTTATTGAGATCCTTTTGTCATTGTTTTTTTTTTCTAATGACCCAGATTTAAAACATCGCCTCCTGCCTGAGATCGTGTTTCTCATCCGTAAACACACATATTTATTACAACGTTTCGGCAGTTGTACGCTCCGGGCCTTCTTCAGGTGGTTGGAATGTCGAACCCAGTGAGCGAAATAAAGGGTTCAGTTCGACATTCCAAACACCTGAAGAAGGCCGAAACGTTGTAATAAATATGGCGACAAAGATGAGGACAATAGTCCGAATAATGTAAATAGTGTACTTTCTTTTTTTCATGATTTATAACATTCTGCCTGACTGAATATCACTTTTTTCATTTTTGAAATCGATCATAAACGAAAATGACATGTTCATCATTAATTAATCCTAGCTAAGGATCAGAAGTTCATGAAAGATTGAAATAAAGTTCAAATATATATATATATATATATATATATATAATTCCAGGGTCACTTTCTAACTTATTCAAGATGATCTTCACCCTCTCTAACCTTCTAACTTTCTGTCCTGGAGAAACAAGATATCTCACAGGTTTCACTTACGATTTCATTTTCAACTCTTTTTTTCACAGTTCTTTGGACGGTCATCGCTGAATCTCCTTTCCCACCTGCCAAACGTCCTATGGATTGTGTTGGATTTATTTTAATTGATCTCTTCTGCTCTAAGTTGAAATAATCATCCCTCTTCCTGCCGTGACCCACTAGTCCAGTTTTTCTTTCTACTGTTCCCTGTTTTTTAAGCATATTCACCGCTATCGTGATGGTTCTTGAATGAAGATGAAAGCCAGAGAATGAATGCTGATACCATTACGAAAGGCCTAAATGATTTTTTTCCTCTCACCATTGCTTATTTCGGAAGACAGCAATGACAAAAAACGATTTTAACCTCTTCTCTTTTTAACTGAATAACTCAATTTCTTTTCAGTGATTCTTACGACAAATGCTGCCAAAATGGCTAAAAGTCTTATCTGAAAACCTGGAAAAAAGAAACTCAATTCGTTTAGTGGGTTTTTTTTATAGATTTTATGTTTTATTAAACTTTTTGTGAGATTGACAATTATACTATTACGCGATATATTGGGGATAATGATATATAAATCTTTTTATGTCAAGAACAATTTTGGCGGAAGGAAGTATGACAAAATAGAAAAAAAGTTTTTGGGCAACGTGTTTCGTCCGTTAGGACTTCATCAGACTAAGTTTATACTTACGTTGATGCGACTACACATGCGCAAGAGAGAGAGACACTGAGAATTTTTCATTTAATTTTGTTTATGTGTGTTTGTATATATATATATATATATATATATATGAACAAAATTTTATATCACAGAATTTATATATTGTTTTAAAAAATAACGGAACTCATTCTTTTTCTTTAAAAGAACTTTTTTTGTTCAACACTTCTTCAGAAAGATTTGTTGGCAGAAAGAAAAACACATATACAAAAGAAATAATCATAAACTTCAAAACTGAAAAAGTGCATGGGGGTTAAATAAAGAGACACAACTAAAATAAATTTATTACTAAAACAAAACATCGATGTAAATAAGCTCCTCCTGAGTAAAAAACGAAAGAAATGTAAAAAATTCTACTCAAAAGAACGAAGACTGTTCTCCTTGTGTCTGCACAAAGTCGATCGATGAAGACTGATATGAACAGCTTCTAAAAAATGAAAATATTTAGCCGACCAAGCTTTGTGCAGTACGCTTCTTCAGAATAGTTCAAAGCGCAACCCGAGTTGTTCAACGAATTTAGTCCAATCGCTAACTCACTAACCGACTGAGTCATGTGAATATTGTCGCTGGTTCCACACCTATTCATATAAGACAGGATGGAATCAGCTTCATATAAACAGCTTTTTAGAAGCTGTTTGTAGGAAGCTTCATCGACCGACTTTGCGAGTACAATTTCCTTTTATACTTACTAGGAGTTTATTTACATCGATGTGTTACTTTAGTAATATTTTTTAAGTCATGGCTCCTTATTCACCATCCATACACTTTTTCAGTTTCACCGTTTTTGGGGGGGCTTTTTCCGACGAATGTTTCTGAAAAAATGTTGGACAAAAAAGGTTCCTTTTAAGCAAAAGAATGCGCCCCGTCCTCTTTAAGACAAATACACACACACACACACACACACATATATATATATATATATATATATATATATATATATATATATTCTGTTTAGTTTGCGGGCTTGTTTATGTGGGGTGCTGCTTATTCCTGATATGATAGGTCACATTGGGATGTTTGGTTTATGTGTTTTTGGTAATCCGTATAATGTGGATGTTTTTGGTATTCAATAACTTTTATCCGAGGTAAGTAGTCATTTAGTAGCTTTTTTTTGATGCCGCTTGTGAATTTTTATGCTTTGCAATATCAAAATGCTACTAAAAAATGAAGACTTCTCCTGGATAAAAGTTATTGAATACCATCCACATTATACAAATTACCAAAAACCAATAACGAACATACCAATGAGAGCTATCATATTAGAGAGATAGGTAGCGACCAACATAAACTAGCCCACAAACTAAGCAGAATTTTAACTCCACTTCTGAGCACTATTAGTCCATATATATATATATATATATATATATATATATATATATATATAAATAAAACAGACCACTTTAAGGTTCCATGTAATAAATTATTTCACCACAGCCCTTTTAAAAGGACTGCGGATCATCTGACTTTACTTCCAAACCAAAAATGAAAAGAAAATTTACACATTTTTGACGGGCCGTATTAAACATATTAAACATATGTAAATTAACGAAGTCAGGAAGTGAGGGGGGAGAGAGAAGACATGAATGGGTTAGCAGATATTGACACATTTAAACGCTTAACGGAAGTTATATATTGACATCGAAGGGGTAGAGAAGAAAACAACATAGAGAGAAAAAGAGGGAAGGAAGTTAAGAGAGAAGAGAAGAGAAGACGTCACTAATTTTCTTTGTAAAAAAAACCTAGAAATAGACGCTGTTATTTTGCGTTACTTTGAAAGTGTTATTTTGGGGGTTCATAAAGATTATAATGTTCGATATAAATTTGAATGTCTCTAGACTGTCTGCAAATAATTTAATTTTATTTTAATTTGATATTTGTTAATTTTCTTTTCATTCATTATTTGGAAGTAAAGTCTGATGATCCGCAGTCCTTTAAAAGGGCTGTGGTGAAATAATTCATAACATGGAAACTTAAAGTGGTCGGTTTTTATTTAAATTATTTGCTCTGGATTTACATTGAGCTCTCTAGATTTTATCCTCCTTAGGTTTTACATACGGATTACCTAATTTTTCATAAACTAACTAACTAACTAACTATATATATATATATATATATATATATATATATATATATATATATATATATAGTGTGAGAGAGAGAGAAATAGAGAGAGTGATTGGTTGATTTATATATATATATTTATTTATGTTCCAGCCTGAAACTGTTCGATCACCTGATCACGTGGCGCAACGGCTCTGACGTCACACCGATTTCCATCTGCTCCAAGCCATGTGAGGTTGGCTATGCCAAGAGTAGCGGAAGTGACGTCTGCTGCTGGATGTGTATCAAATGCAGCGAATACCAAATCCTGGAGACGGTATCCAAATGCAAGGACTGCCCTCTGGGCTTTCGACCAAACACTAACAAGACGGCGTGCGTTCCCTTGCCGGTCCTTTATCTCGAGTGGACCACGCTCTGGGCCATACTACCCATCGTCTTCTCAATACTGGGCATCCTGTCTACCATCTTCGTTCTCATCACGTTCATAATTTATAGCAAGACGCCGGTGATCATGGCCTCCGGACGAGAGCTGTGCTACATCTTGTTCCTCGGCATCTTTCTCTCCTACGCTACGTCGTTCGTGATGCTGGCGAAGCCGTCAGTGGCCATGTGTACAATCACGCGACTTGGCCTCGGTTCATCGCTCAGTCTAGTTTATGCATCAATGCTCACCAAGACCAACCGTATCTACCGGATCTTTAACCGTGGTATTCGGGCCGTGGTCAAGCGGCCGAGCTACACCAGTCCGCGGTCGCAGGTCATAATCTGTTTCTCGCTGGTGTCCGTCCAGGTGGTGGGGGCCTTTACCTGGATAGGTTTCGAGCGGCCGGACACCATGTACGTCCTACAAGGAAAAGAGGCCGTCGTTCTTAAGTGCAAAACAAGTCAAATAGCGATCGTCATATCGCTTTTTTACAATATGTTCCTCATAATACTGTGCACAGTATACGCTTTTAAAACGAGAAAAATACCTCAGAACTTTAACGAGGCTAAATATATCGCATTTACCATGTATAGTACATGTATAGTGTGGCTAGCATTTATACCTATTTATTTTGGAGCCAATCAGGATTTCAAGGTAAGAAAGAACTTTGTCTATTCATTATTTGTCTCATTATGTGTTACTCTTTACATTCTACATATACATATGTATACACACACGTGCGAGAACACACACACACACATATATATATATATATATATATATATATATATATATATATATAGATAGATAGATTATGAACAGACCCAGATAGATAGATAGATAGATAGATAGATAGATAATGAACAGACCCTGATAGATAGATAGATAGATAGTGTTAAGGGGTCCACCCCTTTTTTATACAAGTGGACTCGCCCAGTGTGTACTTGTACTGCTGCCGGTGAATACCCGGGAGTGATACAATGAGAGTGCGAGGATGTGAGGTAACCGCTTTGTAGGAGTCACAGTTGCGAGCACGTAGACTCAGATGGAAGTCATACTTCGATACTGAATTTCCCAGACTGTATATTTATTACTATTGCTACTAACCGCATTTCTGGATCTACTAACCGTATTACCAATTGTATTATTACGTCAATACATTTATTTGCTATATTTCATTCCTGCGTTTGTCATTCATTTTGAGACCAGATTTCATCCCGGAATCCACAACAGATAGATAGATAGATAGATACGAGTAGAAATAGATAGATAGATAGATACGAGTAGAAATAGATAGATAGATAGATAGATAGATAGATAGATAGATAGATAGATAGATAGATAGATAGATACGAGTAAAAATAGATAGATAGATAGATACGAGTAAAGATAGATAGATAGATAGATAGATAGATAGATAGATAGATAGATACGAGTAGAAATAGATAGATAGATAGATAGATAGATAGATACGAGTAAAAATAGATAGATAGATAGATACGAGTAAAGATAGATAGATAGATAGATAGATAGATAGATAGATAGATAGATAGATACGAGTAGAAATAGATAGATAGATAGATAGATAGATAGATAGATAGATAGATACGAGTAGAAATAGATAGATAGATAGATAGATAGATAGATAGATAGATAGATAGATATTCCAAAATTATTTCTCTTTACTATAAACGTTGTATGTATGTAGTGGATACAAGATTTTTAGGAGTCATCTTGGTTTTTTAAACAGTATAATTAAAGTCTACCGATCTGGGGCTTTCGAGAGCCTTTAATGAAGAAAATTTACCTTTCAGTATGAATCGAATCTGCATTGCCAGAACTACATTTACTTTAATAAGAACGCTTGATAAACTTAGACTGGTAGACTTCAATTAAATGTAAACTTTATTTTTGGTGAGATCTGGAGAATATTACGGACAACTCACACGAGATCACACGGATTAGAAATTTGAGAAGAGGTTTGCAGAACAGGAAGCAGGCATCTTGCTGTGGTTGATATTCAAAACCCCTCAGGCAAAAGAAAAGTATCAGACTATCTAAAAAAGACGAATTCTAATATTTGGTGACAGCTGCGTGTAACCCTGTTTGGGGCCGGATTTCGTATGTTTTTATACACTTTTTCGTAAGAAAATCGGCTCCAGAATTAAATCATTTATTTCTTCCTAATTGGCCTTAAAAAGCCACGTGGTATTTCTTCTACTACGTCCGCACGCTATATGAGCGGTATCTACCTAAATCATGGTGACTAATACAACTTTCTGATTTGTATTCTATGATTTCATTGGTGTGTTTTAAGATGCAACTATTTTCTTGAGTGTGATTGGTTTATAAATATTGTATTTGATATTTTAGTGAATACGGCACTCTGTATTATCTCAACCCACTATATTCACCTGACCTTGTGCCAAAAGTTATTCGACCGCTGCAAAAAAAAAAGCTTTGATAGGGAAAACCTTTTCGAATGAATACAAAGAGATCATTGAAAACTTTTTCGGCCTCCTCAGAAGGTATTGAAGAGCAGCCCGTTAAGTGGCAACAAGCAATTGAAAATAATGGCGAATATATAAAAGGGTAAAATTTAAGTTTTGAAGAATAATGTCGATAAACAAAAATGAAATTTATTTCTGTCTCAACCCAATACAATTGATGTAAACTGTATTTTTTTGGTGAGATCTGGAGGATATTACGGACAACTCACGCGAGATCACACGGATTGGAAATTTGGAAAGAGGTTTGCAGAATAGGAAGCAGCCATCTTGTTGAGCTTAAATTGAAAAACAACCAGACAAAGGGAAAGTATCCGTTCGACAAAAAGGGGTCTCCTTCCAGACTAGTAGGACTTGAGTCACGATAGAGGTTTTAAGTATAATAGAAGGTGCTCTATCAACTCGGGGATAAGGAGAAATTATCCCCAGTCGAAGGATCAAGTTTGTTTAACGTTACTCAAGGGCTGCCTGATAAGTGGCAACATGTCGTTGCAAATAATGTTGAATACGTAGTCGAATAAAATGTATTTGCACCTTATTTTTCGAAAAAAAAAATTGACAAAGAAAAAAGGAACATATTTATGATTCAGCCAAATAAAATGACGTAAATCCAACAATTTATATGATATAAAATAATTACATTTATGTGTTGAATTATAAACCATTTCATTGCTATATTTTCTTTTTCTTTTCCATTACTTTTTTTTCAGATCCAGATCACGTCATTGTGCATGTGTGTAAGCATTTCGGCCACGGTGGCACTGGCCTGTCTTTTCGCGCCGAAAATCTACATTGTACTGTGTCAGCCACAGAAGAATACGCGAAACGTGACAACCACCTCTATACACAGCTCGACAGGCGGAGCAATCGCCAAGAGTAGTCGCCCCTTTTTCGCTCCGGCGGCCGCGCACAAGTTAGAGCCGCGCATGACCGCGCAGAACGGAAGTGTGGTCGGCTCAGAGGACAACAAACTACCGGAAGTTGCTTTTACTGACAGTATAGATGACACTTCGTGCGACGAAGCAGTCGCAATGGCAAAAACCCCAACTTGACTCTCAGGCTCAGGAAAGTCGGATTTTTTTTTTTTTTTTTGTGGGGAGAGAAAAACAAGAAAGATTCACAGGAGAAATACATGAAAGGGGTTTAAAAGCAAAAACTGCTGTTAAAAAAAATTAGAGAAAGGAAGTAGTAGAAATCTCGTACAACATTTGCTTTCATAGAATTTAAGGATATCTGTTAACATGTGTATACGTACTTGAGCATATATAATTAAAATATATGGTTAAAAGAAATATATATATATATATATATATATATATATATATATATATATATATATATATATATATATATAAGATTTGTGTCGCCCAAAAACAGTCGACAAGTGTATTTCTGAAGGATAAGGCTTTTTAGACAAGGAATCTTTGGAAGTAAAGAATGTAAAAGTATGAAGAGTTAAAACATTAATAGCAACAAATAAAATGAAATATTCAAGCTATCTTACCGAATCGGAGTTTCACGGATATCGTATCCGCTCGTCCACTAGCAGGAAAGATAAGGTGAACATACAATTGTATTTGTTGCTATATATATATATATATATATATATATATATATATATATATATATATATATATATATATATATATTAAAGTTTTAATCATATCTATATATATATATATATATATATATATATATATATATATATATATATATATAACTGATTAAAATATATACTGAATATATATTTTAATCATATATATATATATATATATATGAGTGTCTATTTCAGAAAAAAGATACACGTATATACGTATATCCCTGTGGTGATAAATTTCCAATTTAAGTATATATATATATATATATATATATATACTTATATGGGTGAGCAGGATGTGTACATGTGTGTGTGTGCATGTGTGCGTGCATGTGTGTGTGCATGTGCGTGTGTGCATGCGTGAGTGTAGAAATAGGTATGGGATTCGATAAATGTCTACATTGATAAATAATGTATGTGTAGCTATAATATATAATTAATTGCTGATGATCGCTTAAAGCGAGAAAAAATCAATTCCAATCTATGACTGGTTTTTATGACCATATTGTATGTACCTATATATATATATATATATATATATATATATATATATATATATATATTTATGTGTGTGTGTGTGTGTGTGAATGTCTAAGTACGTGTCTTTGTGTGTCTGTGTGTCCGTGTCTGTGTAAATAAGAGAGAGATAAGAATAGAAACAAGTAAATGTAAAGGCAGGTATAATTAAAATAATTCTCAGTTCATGATTATTCAAAATAGTTTACACTATGTTTTTATATATATATATATATATATATATATATATATATATATATATATATATATATATATATATATATATATATATATATATATATATATATATATATATATATATATATATATATATATATATATATATATATATACATATATATATATATATATACATATATATATACATATATATATATATATATATGTTTGTGTGTATACATGTTTATCCATGTTATATATATATATATATATATATATATATACCTACATAAATGCATTCATATATACGGAGGCATATTAAATATATTTGACCTTATGCGTAGTGTAGAAACATGTAGCCTGTATAAAAATAATGTATCTTCATCTAACTTATATATACGACATTAATTGGATAATGTTGATTATGCAACGTGACTTTATATATATATATATATATATATATATATATATATATATATATATATATATATATATATATATATATATATATATATTCAGGTGCATACAAATATATAATATATGATACATAAATTTAGTAATATATATGTATTATGTACATACATATTATGTTAATAAATCAGTAAATTTACATTTATACATATCATAGGTTGTACATTGCAAAAGAATTTCTTTGAGTCTTTTCCTTTTTATTAGAGGATATTTATTTTTTTAGGTTTCATTAAGTTTTTTTCGAAGCCCACAAATAAGGCATATGAAATACATCCAAATTTTGTTTATTCGAAAAGAAAAATAATCCATTTTAATTGGGCCTTTTGATACAAACGTTTTTTTCTCCTCTTCAAAACATGCTCATTTTCTGCGAGTCAATCAGACACCCAAAGCGTTTTTAAAGTTATATCTTGAAGTTCTTTTATGAAAGTCATTTTATTAGTAGTAGTATTAACATTAGTAGTATTATTATCATTTTATTTTCTCCAAATATTTAATATATTAACAAATTCAAAGACGGTTTTGTAAGTCCATTTTTGAAGAAGCACATCCCATATTTACAAAAAAAAAAAAATAGCAAAAAAATAACTGTAAACCGGTGTTTGGTTCCAAGAGAAAGCGTTAGCCAGGGCATATCTTTCGATAAGTCAAGAGATAATTTTCTTATCATCAATAAATCATATCCTGTTCTTATTTTATTTACATATCGTTTCTACTGTCAATCCTCTGCCGAGATGAACTGTTTCCATTGGCTTCCTAAATCGACAACTATGTTAGCAAAAAGCACAGCACGTATCAAGGACCAAAACGAAACGGGGGTAGCGTTTTCCTCCGCAAATGAACGGTTTTAAAAACAAAATATTGTTTTTAAAGCCAAAAGTTTTGATCTTCGTATCAAACACAGAAAAGCTAGGCGTAGGTTCTATCACGAATGCAGTCACGATAATAATTGAAAAACACACAACGAGTCATTTGACGAAAGGAACTTCGTCTTCTAAACAGATCAAATGGTTGATTCGGTTTCGGCGCAAAGAATCACTCGGTATACGTCCATATTTACTTGTACGGGTGTGGTGATTTACATTATTCGGGAAGAATTCTTTGCGTATAAAGATCTCAAGAGACACACACACACACAAAACACAAAACACACACACACAAAACACACACACACAAAACACACACACACACAAAACACACACACACAAAACACACACACACACAGTAACCAAGTCGTTCAGAAATCTAAACTATCATCGGTTTACAATCGTTTTCTCAGATCAATGATTGAAAATGTTTTCAAGCGAATGAATCCTTTAGGTCTTAAAGAAGATAATCTTTCGTCAGAGCCTATAGACTGGAACTACACAGTCACAAAGTGTTTTGCCAAGATGACAAAAACAATATCACTTGAAGAATTTCAACTGCAACAACAATTAAAATGGGTAGTAAACAGAAAAATTAAGGATATGATAATTATTTTGACTTTCCACCCGAAGTTAAACAAAAGGCTAAGAAGGAAACTGCTAAAAATATCAGAAAGATGGATAGCACTGAACTTAGGTAAACTAAAAAAAATTTTTAAGAAAAATATTTTATACAGTAATGTTAGCTGTTCAGTCAATGGATGCTGAGTGTTTGCTTATAAAGAAACAGCTAATCTCATCAATGCATCATATATATATATATATATATATATATATATATATATATATATATATAATTAAGACGT